GGCTTTCTGTCTAGGCCTTTCTGTCCACGAAACTACATCTTTTATTCCACACCATTTAGAACTACCATGAATAAGTTTTATTCCTATTTTACAACCTGAGATGGAATTTATCCTGTTTTGTTGTTCTGTTGTTGTTGTTGTTTTAAAGGACTATTTATTTATTTATTTAATTCCATTTGTTATTTGTTAATTTGACCAGAGAGAGAAAGGGAAAAGGACAAAGCAAGCCACCAGGTCTGGTACTCAAACTGGTTGGCCACGTCGAAATCCAGTGCCTTTAACCACCACACCACCTGCCAGCCCCATCCTACTTTTTTCAGTAAACTCAAACTTAACATATTTCAAACTAGAAAGACCTGTAAAACATAACATTTAGCCTTTGGAAGTAACACCTGGACAGAAGGAATATTCATGAATTTGTTTATTGTTTTTGGCCTTGTGTCAGCATCCTACTTATGTTGTTGCCAGTAGGATATACACTTGTCCTTTCTTGTACCTAGGGGATTGGTTCCTGGATCCCTCTTGGATACTAAAATCCATGGATGCTCAAGTCCCTTATATTGAATCATCAGAAAAGTCAGAGAAAAATATGTCATGACTTTTCCAATGACACAATATAAAAGGGCATGCTATTTGCATGCATATACTCTTATGCACTTTAAATCATCTTTAGAGTACTTATAATATCTTTTTCAGTGCCTACACCTCACTGCATTTGTGTGGATTTAGTATAGCATTTGGCACATAGCAAATTCAAGTTTTACATTTTGAAAGTCTTTGGAATTTTTTCCCCAAACATTTGCTGTCTATGGCTGGTTCGGTCCAGGGATAAAGAATCTATCAAGGGACCAGCAGATGGCATATTGGTTACATTGCTGGACTCCCATGTAGTCAATCACAGTCTGAATCTCAGACCCGATGGCTTGAAATTCATGCCAGGTGTGTGCACCCAAGATACCGAGAGGAGCATGGAAGAGAAGAGATTATGGTGTGACCATTACCCCTGGGGGGTGACTTCTTGCTTCTCTCTTGCTTCTCTCTTGCTTCTCTCTCTCTCTCTCTCTCTCTCTCTCTGGCACACATGCCTTATAGGAAAAAAAATTGTCAATACAGAGGCCTGACTATACATTATTTGTATATTTGTGCTGTTTTTTCTTTTGTAGTCTTCATTTGGCCTATATTCTGAAATATGTAATTCTCTGGCAAGTTTTCATGTAGCCACAGAATTTAATTCTTTTTAATAATTTTTATTCATTTACTTAAATTTGCCATAGGTCACATGTGTTTATCAGAGAAAGAGAGAAAGAAGGTAGGAAAGCAACCCAACAGGTCTGGAACTTGAACTGCAAGCCAGCACTTTAACAACCATGCCACGAGCTGGCCCCCAGAATTTAATTTTTTATTTTAAGAGATTTTTGCTATAGGGCACTTACACTTGCTGGAGAGACAGAGAGAAGGAGAGACAGATAAATCACCCTCTGCTGGGGCAGGGGATGGCCATGCCGCAATCCCTTCTCCATTCTCGGGATTTGGGGCACTCAAGCACATGCACTTGGCATGAATTGAGAACTACTGGGTCTGGGACTTGAACCGTGGTCGACTATATGGGAGTCCAGCAGCATAACCATTACACCATCTGCTGGTCCCCAGAATTGAATTTTTATAGGCAAATAAATGTTTTGAGCATGCAAATGACATAGTAGAAAGGAAACTAAGCAGTAGTTTGGGAAACCCAGGTTCAAGTCCTTGGTTTGAACTTAACCATTTGTCCTTGGGTATATTGCTTACCCAAGAGCTCTTATCTTCCTTATTTATCCAGTATAAAGGATTTGAATTGAAAGACCTCTGAGTTCAACAGATATGTATTAGAATGTTTTGGAACAATATTGATTTCAAATCTCTTGTGACTTTAATGCCTATAATCAAAAATGCTTCATTTTGATTTTTTTAAAGAATTATTTAATTTTGTTATTTGAGACTTTGCATGTGGAGGTATTATAGAAATATTTTATGCAACAATGTAGTTTGGTCTTGGTTTGGAAACTATAGTCTTACCGCTTTTTTTTTTTTTTTTTTTTTGGGGGGTTTTTTCTAAAGGGGGGGTGTCCTCGCCCA